GGAATTACGCCCGGAGATTTGTTTTGGTCTTCTTTTTGTTCTTTGTTTACACGTGATATATCAATCGGATGCATTTCAAATTAACCTTGACATTTCAGTGTTACATCCACCTACCATTGTAAGCAGAGGAGACATAGAGGTGCATCTTATTATGTGTACAATATTTATAATTTTTATTGCATCCATTTAATTGTATTCCCTACAATGTTCCGATATACTTCATTTCACCATTACATATATTTACATTATATAAATAAATACTGGGTTGGGTGGGAGCATCAGGGTATCATTTGACCTGAAACTGGACGATGGAGTGGTATGACAACCGGAGTCTAGGAGGGAATAAACACTATCATTTTCTTTATCCTACCGATTCGATTGTGGTGGTGTAAATTCTACTCCAACAGTTTCAGTGAGATTGACGCACCCTTCTTAACAAACCATCCTGTAGGAAGCTTAATAAGTATTGCGAATTGTGTTATTCGATTTGTTGGATCGTATTGTTGGAAGGAGATTCTCAAATTCCCGTGGATTTCGCGTAAGTGTCTCTGCTTACGGGTCCACCCCCCCGTTTTTGGCCCTTCAAACAGCGATATTGTGAATTCAGATCGGTAGCTCAAATTGATCTTGCTATTAAGTGGAGCTGCATACAAGACAAGATCTTTGAAGGGATGGTGGCTACCTTACATACATACACATACATATATCAATCGGATGCATTTCAAATTAATCGGGCGTGACTAGATACCACCGACAAACCGACATGAATGACCATAGCAAAAACAATAAAATTTCTGACCAAAGCACACTACTGACATCTAACTCCGTGTCCGCGGGAAATATTTAGCTAAGCCATGAACCGCATGCAAAAGTTATGAATTGGTTCATGTCTGATCTATTCTGGACAAATTATTTATTATCTAGATCAAAAAATTCTATGGTTTTGACAGTTCGGATCACTGCACACTTAAATCGGCCGTTTATGATTTTCGGGCATAAGTCAGAATTAAGTGTCATGTCGGTTTGCCGGTGTAGATACTACAAAATCAGTACGTTTGGCATATTAAAAGAATATAATTCGTACACGCTTAGATTTTTTTGCCGAGATGGGCATCACCGAGCAGCTCGGCAATCTATTTGGCTGGATATCTGCAGTGAAAAATTTGCCGGGAATTTTGCCGAGATCTCGGCTAACAAACATAAATTTTGCTGAGATCTCAGTAAAAATAAATGCCGAGCCAATGGTGCCAATCTCGGCAAAAAAAAATCTTAGTGTGTAGTTCTGGTACCGACAAAGTTCTGGTGCAAGGTGTAACAACCAGATGCATCATAGAGTTGAAAATTAGAAATACGCCATGTAAAAGGCGAGGTAAAAGGAAACGTTTTTGATGATTTGAAATGATATTTTCTGCTACTTTTTCGTGTTTATCGAGTACTACACACTTAGTTTTTTCTACCGAGCTCAGCTGTACAAATCTCCGCAAAAAATGTTTTACTGAGATCTCAGCAAACATTTAATTTGTTTGCTGAGATTCAGCCACCGACAAACCGACATGAAAGACCATAGCAAAAACAATAAAATTTCTGACCAAAGCACACTACTGACATCTGGCTCCACACACTTAATTTTTTTCGCCGAGATTCCAACAGCCGAGTAGTACTGCAATTTATTTTGCTGAGATTCAGTAAAAAAATTGCCGAAACTCAGCAAACAAATATCATTTTGCTGAGATATCAGCTAACAAACAGATATTTTGCTGATATATCAGCGAAAGTAAATGCCGAGGTAATCGGCTGTTGGAGATTTTACCGAGCTGGATTAAGTGTGCATGTTCGCGGAAAATATTTATTTAGTTTTTATTTATTTTTTATCTAGATCAAAAAATTCTATGGTTTTGACAGTTCGAATCACTGCACACTTAAATCGGCCGTTTACGATTTTCGGGCATAAGTCAGAATTAAGTGTCGGTTTGTCGGTGATTCAGCTAAGCATTATCCGAGCCTGTCACTTTTGCTGAGATCTCAGTGAAACCTATTTTTGCCGAGATTTGCACAGCCGAGCTCGGTAGAAAAAAAAACTAAGTTTGTAGGTGAACTGCTCGGAGTATGCTTTAAAATTACTATCAAGTAAGAAACTGATCAATATCAAGTAAACCGTCAAATACGCTTTAGCTGCTTTTCCTCAGACCCGTTTATTTTGATGTTTAAGTTTTCTTTGCTGAAGATGTTTACAATCACTACTGATTATTGCAATGAATCGAGATTCTTGTCAGGATGCCATTAGAATGCCCTTGGTATACTCTTCATATTTTTTAGGAAGTCTTCAGAATTATTTTCAGAATTCCCTTTAAATTGTCGTCAAAATTCAATTACCGTTGGATTTTTCTCAAAATTCTTTTAGAGTTCTCCTCAAATCCCCATGGAACTGTGCTGAGACGTTCTGAGGCTGTGTAACAATTTTCACTTAAATTTGGTCAGTGGATAGTTTTCAAATAACCCTGTTATTCCACCAGACTTATTTCTGCCAGATAAAGAATCCATTTTGACAAACACCTTCTTGAAAATCGACCGATCAACAGCAGAGGGACTTTACATTTTAATTTATTTTCGAAGTGTCAAATTTAAATAAGTGAAAATTCACCTAACGTATGATTTTACATAAGAAAAATCAACTTAAGTTGAACACTAGGTTGAACCACAGACAAACAGACATAACACTGGCAATTTGTTCATCGAACACGCACTTAACGGACAATTTTTTTAGTTGGTAGTACCGCCACCTGTTGCGCGCATAGTATACTCAGTATACTCAACAGATGGTGGTAGTGTTTTAGCGACGATGTCTTATATTGAATAATATTCAATGTTTTATGTCTGTTTGTCTGTGGTTGAAAATTTGTATGTACACACACATAAATTAAAAAAAAAACACATTGGTGGAATTAAAAGTTTGCGTTGGTTCTTTTTGGTACAAAATCTTCAGCATTCAAAACAAAAGTCAGTCAACTGTTAATTCTAGCGGCGCCGGTGGTGTAGTGGTAAGCGTGATTGCCTCTCACCCCAGCAGGCCTGGGTTCAATCCCAGTCGGCGCCGCCGGGATGTTCTGAGGCATAACATCTCTGATTCCTAAGCCTTCGTAAAGCCGTTGGTCCTCGGTTCATGAGTTGATGGGTCGATAGGTAGGGTCCAGGTGTGGGAGCTGCCTCTCTGCCAAGGAAAAAAAAAACTGTTAATTCAAAAGTTGCTCGCTCCCTACTTTTAAAAGTTATGCAAATATTGTAGCTCTAAAAATAATGCGATTTCAAATTAGTTTCCCAGATTTTGTAGTTTCTGCGGTTGATGGTTACCCAAGTAACCAAAAGTTCGGATAACAGGGCCTTTTATGGCTTAAGCAGCTAAGTGGATGTGGATGTATAGCATTCCAAGCAGCTTCATTTTTAAGTCGTTAAATGAACTTGAAAGTTCCCGATACATCATCGCATAGCATTCTAAGCAGCTTCTGGCGGAACTTGTGCAGCACCTTTTGAAAAAAAAAAGATATGTGTCCTCTATTACAGATCGAATTATCATATTCATGTCTTCTCATACTTATGTTGCACTATTTATGAATGTTGTTTGTAAATTTAGTGTCTTATTTATGATCATGTATTATTATTATTAGAGCTGCTTGAAGAATTGAACCCAGTCCTCCTGCGTGAAAGCTTCAGCACGAACCACTACGGCATCTGAAATATATGAAAATAGGCTGTGATTTCAGCTACTGTTGAGGTGTTCAGTGCTTGTTACCATCAGGGATGCCAAGGGTGTTGCTAGAAATCACCTAGGAATAGGTTGCCAAGGCAGTTTGTGTTGATTCCGCTCCTTTTTTATATTAGACCCTCTCTAATAGTTACCACCAGTGATGTCGGCTGACTGACTTGAGCATGCAACACAACACTTCGATGAATTTAAAATTGGAGTTTGCTCGGGTAGTATTTCAAGACACTCGTGGCGCAGTGGTAAGCGCTCGTAGCTCGCATGCGAAATACATAGGTTCGAATCCAAAAAATTCTCTTTTATTTTTTTTATATCGGATTGAAAATTGATGCATTGCATAAATATAAGGAGAATGCTTTACTTGAACCTTTTAGATTTCTGTAAATAAAAAACTGTTACAAACAAAGCCTTCGGTGAATTGTTTTATGTGGGGTACTATAGAACTTCTTACAAAACTTTGATGCGGCAAATTTGCAGCCTTGTCTAGAGATCTTAAGAAGTGCTGTTAGGAATATAGTTTGAACTTCAAAATGCTAAAAGTACGAATGGGTACTTTTTGGACCCTGAAACTGCTCCTGTGATCCCTTCGCAGTAATAAAGTTCTGTTGGAACTTTATTTGAACTTTATGGGACTTGAAAGTTCTGTTGGCACTTTATGGGACTTGAAAGTTCTGTTGGAACTTTATTTGAACTTTATGAAACTTGAAAGTTCTGTCAGAACTTTATTCGAACTTTATGGAACTTGAAGGTTCTGTCGGAACTTTATTTGAACTTTATGGAACTTGGAAGAGTTGAATGCGGAACTTTTGGTTACTTGGGTAATTTTAAATTTATACACACTTAGATTTTTTGCCAAGATTGGCACCACCGAGCAGCTCGGCATTTTATTTTGCTGGATCTCAGTGAAAAACTTGCCGAGATTCAGCAAAAATTATGTTTGTTAACTGAGCTCTCGGTAAAATTACCATTTGTTAGCTGAATCTCGGCAAGTTTTTCCCTGACATCTGGCAAAATAAAATGCTGAGCTGCTCGGTGGTGCCCATCTAAAATCTAAGGCAAAAAATCTAAGTATTGGCAGATGGAAAATCGACTTGAGAATGTATGGCAGAATTCAGATTTAAATAAAAATATCAAAAATTGTGCAATTTGTTTCGATATATTATATCTACATAATGTCACTATTATGCCATGGATACACTTGTATAGTATTCATAACTTATTTTACACATAATTTATGTTGACCCGGACCTTATACAAACGTCATTGGTTCAAATTAGCCTATAGTTTCTAAATAAAGTTTTCTTTGCATGTTTACGGTTCAGAGTAGGAGAGACTTGTTCTAGTTTATTAAGTTACCAATAACATTTGACAACTATTTAGTTGAACATTTATGAAATATATATATTTTGTTTGGCTTGTCGCGAACTATATTATAATGCTTCAGTAAGTAGCAGAAAACCATGGAAAACTATTCAACGATTATTTTACGTTATTTACATTTTAAGAAAAAAAAATCAAATACGTCATAAACACATTTGGTATCCAAACTTTGCATTAACCTAAAACAATAGCTTCTCGAAATCTTCCTTCTCTGTGGAAGTTTTGGAAACCATTCACAAAATCATCGAATCACTCCCACGTCCAGCACTACTTTCGCCGTTTGTTGATTCCTCCTTGTGCCTCCGGTTCTTTGACTGCCTTCCGTTTTTTAGTTTCGACCCGCTTCTCTTCGACGGCAGGTTCGTCACCAGAGCTGCCGGATTCTTCCGTAGAGCTCGAATTCTTTCCCTGCGCTTCACGATAAGCCGGATTCAGCTTCACCGATCCGATAAGCACGCTGGCCCGACCTGCGGTCTTCAGCAACATCTTTCGCTTGATGGCACTTTCCAACGTCGGTCGGAGCTGGTCCTTGAGTTCCTTCTTTCGTACGCCGTGTTTCTCCTTAAGGTACGTCTTGATCTTTTGGATCGAGATACCCTTCACTTGGTTTTCTGAAGGTACCTTCCGTACCGCTTCCAAGACCATTTGCAGCATCCGTTTCAAGGTGCCATCTTTGGACTTGGTGCTGCTCGCTGCAACTGGTGTGCTTGTGGTGATGCTTATGGGTTCCACAACCACACCAACGGAGCCGTCTTCCTTCGGTTGGCCGTGTTCGAGCTCCTCCTCGGAGGAACTGGTTCCCGAGAGCGGTGACATGGCAGAATTGGTGAAGGTAGGCTATGAAGGGGGGAAACAGGCAGTCAGTATTTGGTCAGTCAAATGAGAATATTTTCGGGGCTTCGGGTTGTTGGTTCATGGGGTGGAAGTGCTGGGACACACACACACATGTTTTTATCTAGATTTTGCATAAATGTTGGGGTTAAATTGTTCATAAAAGTTAATGCCTCTAGGTGTGGATAAGCATAATTGATCTAGATCAAAATAATTTCCAGTCTGCAGAATTTGTATTAGCCGGCGCCGGTGGTGTAGTGGTAAGCGTGACTGCTTTCTCACCCCAATGGGTCTGGGTTCAATCCCAGCCGAGGTCGGTTGGATTTTTCTGAGGCATACAAATCTCTGGTCACGTCTTCCTTCGGAAGGGAAGTAAAGCCGTTGGTCCCGCCCCATGTATGTGTGTTGAATGGGTGCGATATCCTACGCAGGTGTGGAAGCTGCCTTCCTGCACATTCGATTGCCGTCAATGGATGGCAATCGATGTCCGTCGGTGATTGGCACTAGATTGCGGAACAGAGACCGACGTTAAATAAAGGAAAGAAAAGAAGAATTTGTATTGAATGTGTGATTAGCGTTTCCACGCCATATATATTGCGCATTGCACACATTATAAGTGTGGTTATAAGAGCAAAAACGCTAATAAAAGGGCACTTTTACGTTACATTTTGTAAATGTTTAGACGCACTTATTTTTGTCTCATAACAAAAGAGCGCGCTGAAGACACCAAGACGATATACATCAAAGCACACTTTTGTTAGTGATTCGACACTTTTGAGAAGTCCAGTTTCAACTGCCGAATACATTACTCATTGAAAAAAAAAATTACTAGGAAGAAAACTACGTGGTTTATTATCATATGAAACCACAATTTTTAATCTTAGTTCGATTAATGGAAAAGCCGCTCTAAAAGTTTAATTATTTTTCGGCCTTGATTACCTTAAATTGTTTATATCAATGAACCCCAATGAGCGCAAGCATGATCGAAGAGTTTGCTTGTACTGTATAGACCCTGGAAAAAGTTGCACATTGTAGACAAAATGCACGCATATATGGAAAATATGAAATCATTTAGTGGAGCTAAATATGATAATTACTAATATTTAGACTTAATCTAGTCTGTTGATGTATTCAGGAAGTTAATTCAGGCGTCATTTTTCACTAAGCGAACCTTCCGCTTGTAGTTTTTGTTTATTGTTAAATTGGAGCAATAATAGTTACTTACCGAGATATCCACAAACTAGTAAAACAGGCAGTTGTCACTGGAACACTCCATATATGACGACTGGCTACAGTGGAATGAGCTCGCTTTTGTTGAAAATGAACGTTGAACCTCTCATAGTTCAATTGTTATTGCAAAAACAATAGGTGCTATAAAATTGAACTTCTATGGTAGAGGGCCCTATGCCAGTTCAGGACTGGTAATATTATTGAAATGCTGATTATTTTAAATAGATGTCTGAGATCAAACATTGTACATTTGAAAGCCTCGTAGGGCTACAAACGACTGTAAACTCAAGCACGGGATTTTTCATAAGAACTTTAATTGAGAACTAAAATGATTCTTCAAGATGTGAAGTGCCATACTGCAAAATATATAACCGTTGAAAGTTATCCCTAGTAATAATAACCATAAGAAAGAGCTTAACGATGTGTTAGGGTATCATCCAAACCATTTGTGGGATAGTTCTACCATCCGGGTTACCGTTCGTTTATGGTATTTGTTTATTAAAGATGATTTACTTCATGCTTGGAATAGAGTCTCGGGAGGGCCAAGCCGTCCGACACATTATTTAAACAATCTAAATTTTATTAATCTTTTAATTTTGTCGAACATTTTAATGGAATCCCTTTCTAAAGAGCTTTTTGAGTGTGTTGATTTATTTCCTTTTAATTCCGTTATAATTGCTTGCCTTTTGACAGATGCGGGTATTTCGTCTAATGCTTGCAGACTTCATCAGTGCCAAGTGGTGTTGAGTAAATACTTGGTACTGATGAGGTCTTCAAGTAATAGACGAAATACGCGTAGGTATCTGTCAAAAGATGAGCAATAATAAAGGAATTAAAAGGAAATGAATCAACAGACTCAAAAAGCTCTTCATCAATTTTATGGTTTAACCATTGCTTTAGATTTTCTGACTCCAGTTTGGAAAATGATGGATCAATAATACATATTTCAGTGGTACCGGTGATGTAGTGGTAAATGTGATTACCTCTCATCCCAGCAGGCCTGGGTTCAATCCCAGTCGGCACCGCCGGGATGTTCTGAGGCATAACATCACTGATCACGCCTTCCTTGGGGGAAGTAAAGCCATTGGTCCCCGGTTCGTGAGTTGATGGGTCGATCGGTAGGGTCCAGATGTGGGAGCTGCCTTCCTGGCGTTGGTAACATTGGTGCTCAGCACGGAAAACAAGATCGACGGAAAACAAATTAAGGAAAAATACATATTTCAAATTCAAATGATTATTGCATCCGCCTTCAAAAAATTACATTGCAATTGCACTACAATGCTTAATTGTAGGCTTATTGTTCAAATAGCAATCGATGGTTTGAATACAAATAGAGAAACCCCAAATCTCAATAAACATAAAAAAATCTATTGCAGGTATTTTGCCCAACCAATCCTGCTATAAGCAGAATGCATTTAATAACAATGTTACTTCCATTTGATTTATCACGCACAATGAACGAAACTAGAGGGAAGAGAACTACTTTGGCCTAATGGCCCATTTTGGGCCTATCAAGCAGAAAACATCAACTAAATCCATGATTTCAGATTTAACAAGACAGTTATGTGTTTGGTACGATACTATAGCTCAAAAGCTACCGAACGAAGTCAATGATAACGAGTGATATGATTGTTTGCACCGATTATTTAAAAAAACATAAGAAGCGCTCCGATCGAATCAATTTTTGTCCTCATCCGATAGGCCAAAGTGAATCCAATGGCGTTTGAATGGCGTTCCAATGCGTTGGGCTGATTTTAGAATTCGTAGGCCGAGTTTGGGAGTTTGAGAAGCAGTGTTAGATTTTTAACAATATCTCAACAATGTGATTCTCTTTATCAGATCATACGATACGTACGGAAAGGTAAATCAATTTAGAAGCCATCTGCAGTGAAAACATTCCATTGTGTGAAAAAATTCTACTCGAAAAATAGTGGCAAAGGGCGGATTGTGCTTAGTAGGCCCAAAATTAAATCTATTAGCCCTATACTTAATTTACAGAACTTTTGCAGATGAGATGGGGGAAATGTCTCTAATGTTGGCCTATGGATCTAAGATTGGACCCATCGCTAAAAATCTGTATCTAGATGAACGCGTCAATGGATATTTTTGGTTGCTATTGAAAATTTAGTCGATTGCTGAATTTATGTATGGGCCCAAATGAGGGACGCTTAGGCCGACGTTACATACATTTCCCCTATGTCTTGTTTCATTTTCATTTCCTCGATCATCACTCCCAGGTATTTCAATACACAGTTCAAGGATATGACCTGCTCCCCGATCATGTCGATCGCCTCGGCCGCCAACATTTCCGCATCTTCCAGTGCGTCGCCTGTTACCGTCAAGACGACATCAACATCAGTCATACATTCCGTAAGACAAACCACATAGGTCTTATAAGAATGCATAAACGGTATGTGTGCCCATTAAATGGGCCCCATTTATACATTTCATTTCGAGCTGAACGTTGCATTAGGTCCTTAGTAATATTGATCGACTAGCTTCGTCGACTTTCTCTTTCGTTAATAACTTGAGCACATAACCAAATAAATTACACGCAATTACGCACATAAATTCTAAATTATAAATGTTGCCTTCTGTCAAACGTATGGGATTGACATGGGGTTGCCAACCTCCTAGCGGAGGACTATCGTAAACTTGTTGACAATCGAAAAATTTCATAAGACATTATTAAAATCCAGTACATTTCCAATGATGAAGAGCCCAATATGATGAAAAATGTACAAAATTGTTACTTCATAACATGAAGCTTTAGTGTGATAATTTATAAGCTAGAGAATGGACTTAGAAGAGGGTAGGTAGATAGTTCTGTTAGAGTACGGCAGAATGGAAATAGAATAGAAGTTGAAAATGAGCGAAGGGCTATTAATGCGACAGTGCAAGTCAAACGCACACTTCTTTGCCTAATCCGTACGATGAACGCGGAGATTTGAAGTATGTCTTCAAATCTGCAGGCTAAAAGTGTGCGCTTGACTTTGCTCAAGTACTGTCTGCGGGTGAGGAATAGTTCTAGCGACGTTTCATCACTACCTAAAGCCCTCACAAGACTGCAACGCCTGTCATCTGCGAACGACTCGAGTGAAGTCAAATTTCTCTAGTGCTCTGGTGCTAATTTGACAGCTCCTACTTCTCAACTAAGATTAAAACGCTGTACAGCCTGGAGAGTTATAACAACAATCAATACGAAACTAACGATTTTAAATTGGCTCACCACTTTAGTAGCCTATTGGTCCCAAGCAAACGATTAACGTACCCTATTCTAGTTGAAATTCTATTACTACACTTGTTTTGTTTTGATTCGCTATGAAAGTTTGACAGATAACATCAGGGGTGTGTGGATTCATGCAGAACATGCAGGGGTGAGTGAAATAGCTTGGGACTACTTGGGACCGTTGTTCTGGTACTGAGTGAGCCATAAATAATAATGAATTTCTTCGGGACCCAGTGGTCTTAGAGTTACCTCTATGGTTTTAGTCCGGGAGTTAGAAGGTGATAGATCTACACGGACAGAAAATTGATTGCATTGAACCAAACAAAACTTTAGTTGTATTTAAACAAACAATTCTGGTTGAAATTATATTGCATTTTATTGTTTCTATAAAACTTATTCAAATAAACTCAACATAAGATTCTTTTTGTTTTAATAAGCCACTTTTCAATTGCAACTATTGTAAAAATAACAATATTCTATTATTAAGCCAACAATAGTTAATTTTAATTTAGCATTTATTTGCTGTGTCCATTCCCTGGGCCATGAATACAAAAATAACTACCAACCATTCCCTCGTTTTCACCCGGACAAAAATGTAAACAATAACAAAAATTTTCTCATTTGATTAAGTATTGTTTTTAATTGTGAATTTCGGGAAATAAGTACGAGATTTCCGAAAATCTTAAGACTTGAGGTAAGCAAGTAAGCTGCAGTTCAAGCTGCAGTTGTTAAATATAATCAATTTTTAAGTTTTTTTTTCCTTGATTTTTTTCCGTCGATCTTGTGTTCCGTACTGAGTACCAATGCTCCCGACGCCAGGAATGCACCTCCCACACCTGGACGCTACATATCGACCCATCAACTCATGAACCGGTGACCAACGGCTTTACTTCCCTTCCGAAGGAAGGCGTGATCAGTGATTTTATGCCTCAAAAATTCAATTGCAATTCTGTTTGTTGTCACAAAAAAAAAATCGACATTATTTTTGAATCAATAAACATATTGTTATTTCTACTGCGTGAATTGTCAGCCTTCATAAAATAAATTTGATTGAATCAACAAGAAATCTCTTTTAAAAACAAACATATTTTTCTTGTTGACCCAGCTGCCAAATTTGACAGCTTACGTCAAAACCATGAAAGCTCTTATAAATTCGAAAAGATTTTCTCTTTGATTTAACAATCCATGGGTTTTAAGGGACAATAATGCTGGATTGTTGAAACAATAATGATTTCTTTTTGCAGCCAAAACAAAATGAAATTCTTATTGCATTTACGTCAAATATTATTACGTTTAAAATATTTTTTTCTGCGTGTATTGCAGATCCAGTAACCCATTTCAGAATGTCTGGAGAGTCACGCCCATTCCGAGGTTACATTCACTCACAATAAACCCCGCATGTATGCATCAACATTAGCAAACACACTTCCTGTTTAGAAAATATTTTTTTCAACCCTGGCATGTATTTAGTTTAATTTTGATATTTAATTTGTAAACAAAAATATGGACAGTTCTTACCATATTCTGCTCTTCCGCTGCCGTTAATTGCTTCCTTTGGAATCCTTCAACTTTTTCTCTAACGCTTCGTATTTCATTCCGTGCTTCACCGGCAATTTCCTTCGGTAGATCGTCCTTGGTTGGTTCTAACATGATTTCGCCTTTTCCGGGTTTTTTTTTTCTTAAACCTTACCGCCATCTGTCGTATACACTGTGATGGGCAATACACTCAACAGATGGCTGTAGTGTGTAAACGTCAAACGCAAGGAAATTGATTGTGTTCGCCACAAGTGGCAGTACTACCAACTAAAAAACATTTAAAGTGACCGTTAAAAGCGATTTCGATGAACATTTTAAGAGTGTTATGTCTGATTGTATGTGATCATACCTTCACTATCGCAACTTCGGGTAATCCGTGAAAGTACTTACATTTTTCTCAAGCACTTTTGATCTAAATGCAATCACTCTCTCATACTCGAAATGTGCCACGACCAAATTGGAACAATGATCGAAGTGCAGGGTTTGCGATTTTCAGAGTTGGTTGGAAATGCTATCTAACATGAAGCTTTAGTGTGAAAATTTATTAGCTAGAGAATGGTCTTAGAAGAGGTCAGTCGTTGATTACTCACTTGCATTCTGAGCCGTTCCATCCTACTTGCATCCACATGGTTGATGATTTCCATGTTTCAAGCTATGATTTGATGAAACGTTTCGAATACGCCATTTTGAAGTCTTTTGAGAAATTCCAAATGGCCGAATTTGATCATAACAAACAATTATACAAAGTTTCATGTAAATCGCAGAGGGTAAAATCTGAAATTTTGCATTCCACCTGGAAATGCTCATTTTCATGGATCATATGATGATGGTCTTGATAAAACCTGGATTATCATAAGGAATTTTATTTGACTAACTGACTAACAACCAAGATAATCGATTATTTCCTGAAATTATTTTGTCTATATTTCATTACTAAATTATTTATCTTTTGGAGATGGGTCACCAGCAAAATATAGAATTTGCAAAAAATGCAACGATGAAAAAAAAAATTAGAATATGAGAAAAGTAAAAATGTGGATTCTCTCAGTCTAATGGTAGGGTTAACTACCCCATTTTCGGCCTATTAAACACAACCCACACTTAGTCTTTCTTAATCTAGCGCAGTTTAGCACCAAACGGAATGTTATTATTACTGATGGCTTCTAAATTTATTTACCTTTCCGTATGTACCTTAAGATTTGATAAAGAGAAACCAATCGTTGAGATATTGTCAAAAGTCTACCACTGCTTCTTGACGCCAAACTCGGCCTACGAATTCTAAACTTAGCCTAACGCATTGTAACGCCATTGAAACGCCAATGAATTCACTTCGGCCTATCGGATGAAGATAAAAATTGATTCGGTCGGAACGCTTCTTTTGTTTTTGAGAATTATGAGTTCAAACTTTCATATCACGTATTCTAATTAACTTCGTTCGGAAGCTTATTAACTAAAGTATCGTACCAAACGCATAATTGACTTATTAACTCTGAAATCATTGATTTATTTGAAGTTTTCTGCTCGTTAGGCCCAAAATGGGCGATTAGGCCGAAGTAGTTCTCTACCCAACTACTCCTAGACTGAGTAAATTTTTTGTTAATTTTCCTCGTAGATTTTTTAGGTTTTCCACAGGAAAACATGAGGCAAATTTACTCATCGCTGAGTTTCTGCACTTTTTGCTATTATGAGTAAACTGAATTCAAATTTGGATTCATCTCATTGGCCATGTGAATATAGAATTTTAAAATTTTATTTTGCGACATTATCTCTTCCATTTAATGTTGATTAGCTTTTAGCCAAGGAGGCATTATTTTAGAAGTTTTTCCTCTATATGATCATCTACCCTACTATCGTCGTTTATAGCAGATTGATCTCATCCATCATTGTTTCAGACCAGCATCAACACAATCAACATCACAATCCTTTGTGAGTCATCGAGCTAGGCTCAACCGATTGTTCCAACAGTCGGCGCCATCCGGTATCTAACGAAGCCCAATAGCAGTGCAATCGCGTGTGGTCTAAGATTGGTCCCTTCTCGTTGTGTAGAATTCATTTAGAATCATTGGAAAAACTTATCCGGACACCGGAAATCATCATGGGCTTAAACGATTCGTTCCAGCTGTGCAGTCTCGTGTTTAGCTTTCTGAAACTGTTCTACCTGACGGTGGTACTCTATCAGATTGTATTCTGCGACGGATGGAAATGTCGCGATGAAAGTATTCACGGTTTCTATTGTTTAGCCGCCATGTTGCTTCCAGATTAGTAATGAAAGTTTTTTCCCCGTACATACAGATTCGGTCCCCGCTACATTTCTAATCCTGTTGGTTATGATCTTCCCGGCCATGATGGTTACTGGAATTTTGAAGGTAGGAACTTACATGTCCATAAAAGATGTTTGCTAGTTTTCGTTTTTACACGTGGTTTGATGTGTTTTGTTCAGAAACCCTCCGTAGATGTATCGGTTTGTTTCGTAAGTAATTAAACTAACTAAATTTCCTCATAATGGCAGAAAAACCTTCGACTACTACGCATCTGCAAGGTGTACAACATTGTGGAAAAATCGGCCGTTATTTTTCTGCTGCTGGTGACGATCGTTCTGATGAACAGTGCCTACCGTGCGTACGTGCGATGGCATTTTGTAACCGAGCAGGAAGCCATATCCGTGGAGATGGCCTATGCGATGTTTGCTATTACCATCCTGCTAGCAACACGTAAGTTACTCTACCTTTCGTTGCTACGAGCCTCTTTTAAATTTTGACTTTTATTTTTCACAACAGTTTACATGATCTTCCGCAACTGGATGATCAACGGAACCATCGAATCTGTTAAGTGCGATCTCTACAGTTTGAATAGGGACAAGTATGTCATGCAGTACAATACCAGTCCATGATTTTTTGTTATTTTTTTTTCACGATGCCTCCGTGAAGCCTGCAATGTTATGTATTTTTTTTTACAACGTGTTTGAATGCTATTTACCTAATTTGCTCATTTTGATTTTGCCTAATGTAACCGAGCAGCAAGAAATCCAAAAATAAATACGAATTTTGTCAATGGAATGCTCCAACAAGTGATTTCCCTCTACATACTAGTGGAATGTATGCAACAAGCTTTCGATTGCCATCGCAACGATTAATGTTGTTTGTGTTGTCTAAAATGAACATAAACATCCATTCATTTCGGTGGTATCGCAGAAGTGCACCGTCCCAGTACGCGTGGTAGTAAACTGAAGAATGTAAACAAAATCAGGAATGACCGACTCACGTAGTGCCTACCATTCAGGCGCAAGCGCCCCCCATGAACAACTACTTCACTCGACTTTGACAGACATTTTTCACTTGACATCGACAAATTGTAGGATCCAGCAGCAAACCACCACCAGCCAGAAAAGACTGTCATTGAACTGGGCTGCACGAAAAAAAGTTGTGTTAATTCGGAGAAAATTAGGGAAAAGTGATTTTTCACAATCTTCAAGCAGTTTAGTGTGATTCTTTTTAGCATAGATTTAGGCAAACTATTTTTACCTATTAGATCGGTTGTGTTTAACACGTTTTTTGTTCGCAAACAATCGACATACATTGTGACAATTATATCCTCGCTAATCACAAATTAAGGAAAAGTCGTCCGCTTCCAGATAATTTGCATTCGGGGCAAAGAAAACCAGCAAGTCTGATAACTTTCAAGGATTTTTCTACCAACACTAACGTCAATTTGGCCTACAAACGGGAACTGCAAAGCCATCAAAATGTGAACCTACTGCATTATATCATCGATAGGGAGAAATTTTCCATTTCTGTGCCTGGAAAATTGCCTGTTTCTGATTCTTGTTGTTCTTATTCTTCTTCGATTTGGGACCAGACCAAAGGCTGGCGCTGATACTGCTGCATACCTTATAGGCGCAGCCGGGCTGCTGCTGCTGCTACCGAGAAAGTGTGTATATTGGTGTATACGGCAAACGCGAGGACGATCAAAGTGTGATACAAATCATATCGGCATGATGCGAAAGAAGAGTTCATAAAAGAATAAATTATTGCACAATCATCATCGCAGCGAGGTGGGGAAAGGATTGAAAAGGATTTATTTTTTGGCACGGTATGAACTTCGGTTCCGCCGGAGATTATCGTAAGTTATATAACGAATATTAAAATTTCAACAACGGCACTCGGCATCTAATCAACGGGAACAGTAATTATTAATCAGCGAAGAGAACACCCGATATGGCTAAGAAGATTCCTTTCAAGGTGGTGTTTGCCTCAGGTAAGGTTCATGAAATATTCAACAGCTTTTCGCTCCATTTCCAAAACGTTAACTCGTTCAAACACTTTTATTCGCAGACGAGGACTCGGACTGCCCAGCCAGCGAGTTGAACAGCCACAGTCCAACTGTGCATGGATGGCGTTCGAACCCGAGCAGTCCGGTATCGCCAAAGGAGATTGTCCTGCGGTTCTTCAATCCGGCCCGGATCGTCCGGATACAAGTGTTGGCCCATCAGTACTTCATACGTGAGTGTTCATTAGTGAATGAACTCGTGAATGGGTTCATTTGGGAGGTATTTTGACAGATGAATGCATTCATTCTGAGAGCTTGCGCCAATCGAGTGGTTGCTTAGGTCTTCATTGATGAACTTATGTGCCGGAATTTTTCGGGTTTTGTTTTGGTCTTGGAAAGAATATGTACTCGGGAGTAACACGTGTCGATTATTTACTAGACGATGTTTACTATTTAGTATACATCGCACTAAAGCTTATTGCTTTATCTATAGTTTATGTGGTATAATTTAAGCATGGCAACGGTAACCCCTCGGACCCAACCTTCCATTAAAGCGAGTAATTGTCTATCAGATTTAGAAGGAATGTCAGTTCCAAGCATTATCTGCTGATTCCCTGTCCAATTACCTTTATCTGATTTGTAAGTACTCTAAGCTTTCTTCTTGAAAAAAAATGTCCATAAATAGTATTAAACTGAAAGGAATAATTTTAGAACTTTCAAACACAGTCAAGTATCTGGGAGTAACTCTTGACAGCAAACTAAATTGGAATTCGCATCTAGAGCAAGTCATTAGTAAAGCAACAAATGCTCTTTGGATAGGTAAAAAAAACTTTTGGTAGGAAATGGGGACTTAAACCTAAAATGATCCACTTGATTTATTTGACGATTGTAAGACCTAGAATAACCTATGCATCATTGGTTTGGTGGCCTAAAAGCAATGAAAAATCAGCTCAGAAAATGCTGGGGAGGCTGCAAAGACTAGCAACTCTCTCAATAACTGGTGCAATGAGTAGCACACCAAGTATGGCACTAGATGCTCTACTTTCTCTGCTTCCGTTGCATCAATTTATTCAATTAGAAGCCGAAAGGAGTGCATTAAGGATCCGACGGTCACAGCACTTCCTTGAAGGTGATCTTAGAGGACATATGAGCATCCTAAAAATGTTCAATATTGATTCTATTGTGTTACAAAATGAGGATTGGATGAAGAAAAAATATCACTTCGATCGTCTTTACAATGTAGCAGATGCGGATCGCGATTTGTCGGACAATGGGGGACCAAACATTCGTCCAGGATCAATTGTCTTCTATACAGACGGCTCAGGGGTAATAGGTTCAGGTATAAATATCTCAATATCTATGGGCTACTGGCCTACCTTGTTCCAAGCAGAAGTCCAAGCAATTCTTGAATGTTCTAAAATTTGCTTGCGTAGAAATTATAGACATTCGAATATCTGCATTATGTCTGATAGCCAAGCAGCACTAAATGCTTTGAAATCAGCAACATGTAATTCTAAACTTGTATGGGAATGTGCAATGTCACTCCAAAAATTGGCCTGCCAAAACCAAGTGAACCTATTTTGGGTTTCTGGTCACTGTGGAATTCAAGGGAATGAGAAAGCCGACATACTAGCTAGGCTTGGATCATCTCAACAATTTATAGGACCAGAACCATTCTGTGGAATTTCTGCTTGCTCTCTTAGAATGGAGTTCAAGAAATGGGAAAAAAAATGAAAGTGGAGACCAATTGGAACAACACTCTCATTGCTAGGCAGTCGAAACGGTTTATTAATCCGAGCATTTCAATGACTAGCAAAATTCTTTTACTATCAAAGAAATATCTCAGTATGTACACTGGTTTAATAACAGGGCACTGTCCATGTAAATATCACTTGAAGCTAATAGGAAAACTTCAAGATAACATGTGTCGATTATGTGGCAAAGAAAAAGAAGACTCTGAACACCTGCTATGCTCTTGTACAGCAATCTTCAATAAGAGGCGTATTTTTCTGGATAAGGGGCTGACAGAACTTTTTGATATTTGGAATTCAGTTCCCAGCCAAGTAGTGCAATTCATTCGAAATGTAATACCTGACTGGGAAAATGCTTTCGGTCAGTCTATGTCGGTCGCTTCATAAAATGGTGTTACAACATGCTGATAAAGCAATATTAAAACGGGAAATATATCACAATAAGTACTGGCCGCAGTGATCAAAATACCCAACACGGAAAAAAGCTATCTTCTTGAAATCTGCTTCCATGTAGTGGAATTTTTTGAATTTGGCAGTAAAATTTCTTTGAAATTCTTCGAATTAACCCTGGAAGACTGTTTCTTCTGGAAGGCCTCCAGTGTTGCACAGAAATGCTATGTAAAAAGTCATTTGAATATCTTCTAGAAGTCCTCGGATGATCTCTTGTATGTTTTCTGAACTTCCATTTCTTAGAAAGACCCTAACTATCCCATGAAAGCTTACCGATTTCCTCATGCAAAGTTCGGATTCCTTTGCCCATTTAATAAATATGAATATTTTTGGCTAGAATTGGGTTGTTTAATTTCGAAAACCATACCGGTCTTCATATACCATCTGAACAAAAAAACTTCGTTTTCTGTGCACAGCGATATTGTTATCAATCCCATAGACATTCATCTCGATTTTTAAATCAAAATTTAAGTTTTTCATTGTTGATCTATTAGTTGACAGCTCGCTCCCATACAAAGTCCCACCGAGGGGCGCTAGGTGATTTTTTGCTAATGTAGTCGCACTTATTTAAAATTAGTCCTAATGCTCCAAAATTGACGAAATTTTGTATTTTGTTTCCATTTGTAATGCAGATTACCTCAAGCTAGTTAGTTGGCTAATTGAGTCTTTCAAATCCTTCTGCGATCACCGTAATCGTTGAACTGCATAGTCTGCCATATTGTACCATCTAAATAACCTCCACATACACTCACTAAATCCCCAAACAATCCAAACCATCTCAATTCCAGCGGAACGCATCGAGCTGTGGCTGCACTACTCGAGCAAGAGCGCACCCAGTACCCCGTCCAGCCAGAGCTTCGAATACATGGGCTTTGTGGCCCTGTCGGACAACTCCAGTACCAACTTCGCGTCCCGGGAGCTGCAAAGCGTGACCGTAACGCCGAAAGTGGGCTCGCACCTGAAGCTCCGCCTTGGTCCGCCGTATTCAAACAAATTCAACTCGGACAACCAGGTGGCGTTGCTCGCGATCAACATCCTCGGCGAAGAGCTGACCGCCGAAGAGCTTTCGTCGATAAATTCCAACGCGGCACTGCTGAACGTTCCTCCGGCCAACATCGAAGCGTTGAACAGTTCACTGGCATCGGTGTGCGATGATCTGTCCTATTCCATGTACGTGGAGGAGGGCATCTGCGATGTGGTTCGCAAGATGGAGCTGCTGAAACTTCAGGCAGTTCAAGGTAACCTAGGAATTCATTCAGCGGTGCAGTTAATCGATCGAATTGGATTTGTTTTTCCAGATGAACGCTTCGAATACGCACGAAAACTGAAGCTTTGTATGACTGCGCTGCGAACGGCTGGTGAACGCCTTGGGCGGTATGCCCTAGCCAAACGCCAGGCCGTTCAGCAGGAAGACTTCAGCACGGCTCGTCTGCGCAAGGAGCAGATCGAAATGTACCGGAAAGCCGTATTCGATCAACTCCGGGTAGATACCCTACTCAAGAGTGATAAGAGCATTACCAGTAACGACAGCTGTTCCGAGCTGTATGCATCTAAACCGACGTTGCCTTCACCGCCTAGCCTGCAGGACGTAGCAAGTGCTTTATCGGAAACCTGTCTGCCCAGTGTGGCCGAAGCTGTCACTAAACAGCAAATCCTACTACACGATACGACTGACTCTACCACCAATACCACCAATTCAACGACTTCAGGTTCCAGTGCGGTGGGAGCCATAGGAAAACCACAGGAAGCCACTCCCAGCAAACACTCACACACTCTATGCAGGCCGGAAGATATTCCTAACTCTCCACTACTAAGTCACAAGGGCCGTAGCCCAATGCGTTCGCCGACGAATACGGGTTCACTCCGTCGACGGAACAAGAGCGCTCCGCGAAACAGCTACGAAGACTACGATGAACGAGCCATCTCAACACTAAGGTTAATTGGTCTTCAGGGCGTAGTGATCGATGCGATTAACTTGATTTTATTTATTTGGTTTGTGTTACAGTTCCCATACGAACGACTTTCTCCGAGAGTGCCAGGGGACGGCATTAATGGAGAATGATTCCGGGAAGGTTCGTTCCAAGCTGAATGATCGAGAGCGACGGCAAGCTGCGCTGCCGATACTGATATTCGGGATGGAGCTGGTCGAGTTGATCTACTCTCGCCAGTATAGCGATCGCGAGGAAGGTTTGGTAAGGTTAAGGAGCATTATGAAACGGGAAGGTGAAGAGGACCAGTCGGCTGGACCGAGCAAGATCTGTCGAAGTGCTACGCTGCTACTACATCGTGGAGTTCGCGATGCCGTGTTTTCGGTGTTTAGTCAAGCGACGGAAACAGTGAGATCACTGTTTATGGAATTCGTGCCGAATCGGTAAGTAATTCTTAGCGATTAATTTATGTTGGAGGTTAATTGGAATTGTTCGACAGGGTAACACCGAGCGAAGTATCCCGTTCGGTTGATCGACTTTTACCGGAGTTGCTTTCCAAAAGCGGTGATCCATCGGCTAGGGTTCATACGCTGGCTCAGCACACGATCCTAAGCATTGCAGCGTGTCCGGAGGTGCGTGAACAACACTTGATCGCTCCGGCGCTGTCCAGACCGGTTGGGAACGGAACTCATCCACGGTTGGCGCTGAGCCGCATGCAGATGCTGGAGCAGTTGGTCCTGAGTCAAGGCATATCCAGTGACAAGCAGAGTGGATTGGCGTGTCGAACACTGTCTGAAGCAGGTTGCTCTGGGATTCATCATCCGGCGGAATCGGTTCGGAAGGTCGCTGAAAGGGTCCTATTACTGGTTTACAAGGTTAATCCTAGATTGGTAAGAAAACAGCTGCCGCCGGATGATGACATTACGCGAAGGAATCTGCTTTACCGACAGTTGTTTACCGAGTTTGATAAGATCGATCTGCAGGTACATCTATACGTAATTGTAGCTGAAACGTAGAGTTTAACGTTTTCTGGTTTTCAGCGTAAGAAGGAGATGTTGGAAAACAAGCATTTCAGTGGACCGAGTGCGTTTGGCGGTTTATGTTCTCCACCGATGTCGAATAGTTCAAAGAATTCGCCACCGGTCGAGATTCGAAGTCGAGGCCTGCGGTACGACAGTGCTGGAAGCGCCGGTCGAACGATCGTCAGTTTTTCCGACGGCACGAACCCTAGTTGGCAGTCAAGTTTCAATTCACTGAAATTGCAGGATTCCCACTCGAGTCCGGTGAGACGACCAGATTCGGCAGGAATCATCAAAAGCAAGAGCGGCCATGCGATCGGTCATCACCATTGGGCCAATGAGGACAAGTGCGAAAGTTCCTACTATGACAAGCGGAATTGCAATGGAAAGGACCAAAAGTTGAGTCAACCGAAGACGATGATCTACGACAGTACGGTTGGATTCCTGGGATCGGAAAACGGAGGTGGTTCGCGGAAGAGTTCCAATTCGGACTCGTTCGAAGGAATTGACAATGAGATGTAAATTGAGATTGGGGGTCTTGGTTAGTCAGGACGTCTAAAGTTTGTGTATTGAAAATTTCAGTCGCTGTCCATTCTGCGATTGGATCTGCCATGGGGACCCTGCTCAGCTCGATAAGCACTACTGGAAGGCGTGTCCCGTGCTGACCAAGTGTCCGCAGTGCAGTCAGATATTGGAGGTGGCAGCACTGTCACCGCATCTAATAAGTAGGAAGTTCTTCGTCATATATGCATGCTTCGAAACACTAACGATGTTCTTTTGTAGATGAATGTGAGGCTAAAGCAAGTTATGTTACCTGTGAACGCTGTACGGAGTCGGTTCATAAAGATCTCTACGAGTACCATATGATGGAAGATTTCTGTCGAGGTAAATTTAGTCGTCGATTAACCCTAGCAATAAATTATAATTCCTACATTTTTCTCCATCATAGAACTAACGAATGGTGCAGCGCGATGTCCACTTTGCCACGACGACGTTCTCCTGCCACTGGATGGAGGCTGGAAGCGCCATCTGCTGAGTCGATCCGGCTGTTTGGGAAACTCTCGGCGAAGAGCAAAAGTTTAAATCGTATCAATCTTTTAAATCAAAACACACTACAGAAAACTCCTAGGCAGCAGTCGCTTTTTAGCCCAATCTAATTGTAAACAATCGGAGGCAGCAGTAAACCGAGGCAAATGACTACGTAGAGCAGCTTTTAAATGTCTCTTAGAAATTTTACGATTCTCTACAAACTTGTCGTCAGTCAGATATAGATAGAAATTTTCGGAAATTAATCAAGCAACTCAACAGCACCAACAGGAAGGAACTATATAGTAGAGACACTCACATTTTTAACAAGCAGCAATTACTATTTGAAGGTTAGCAACTCTTCTCGTGGAAGGACAGTTATTAGAAAATTTAAAAATTTACATACATAAAACTTCAGGAGCTAATCAGTTCGACTAACCGAGACATAAACCTGCTACCAATTGTTACTGCAATACAACAAGAAAGAATTTAATCGAGTTTAAAACTTTGCATCCCCAAGTAACAGCAAAAAACCATTGAGGAGAATACATTGTAGATTCGAAAAAAAAAAAATTTAATGTAGCTGACATGTTTTGTTGAGTAGATTTTTTAACGATAAAGTATTGACATACATTTTCAGAGCATACATTAGCAGTTTTCCCTCCTTAATACTTAATAATTGAAATCATGCCGCAAGGTAGGCAAAGTTTGATATTAACAAAAAAAAAAAAAAAGTCCAAAACCGATATGTGAAACCGTAAAAGTATTTCCCGTCCTCAACCTTGAATCGAACCGAAGAATAATAAAGTATTGTCATCTTTTTTGATTCGAATGAAAGCGTGTTGGGTTTCTTTCATGATGACAGAGAAGATAGCCAATGGTTTGGTATCCTACACTTAGACCTGGTGGAACATGCTCTTTTGGACCAGGAAGTACCAGACCTTGAAAAATGTTCATGCCATCATACCCGAGTAGCACACTTTCATCACAATAAGTTGCAGCAACTTGTTTATGACTGAAATAAGTCGTATATAAATTTCTACAATTGATTTGTGACAAGCGTGCTTCTAGGGTAATGCTCTTCGTTGTGCAGTTTTATTTTGTTTATTTTATTTATTTTATTTATTTTATTTATTGCATTTATTTTATTTTAATATCAACTGTAGTCAAAACATAAGAATATATATGTAACTCAATCAGCAATACTCGTCAGTGGGCAGCTCCCACACCTGGACCCTACATATCGACCCTTCAACTCATGAACCGGGGACAAAACGGCTTTACTTCCCTTCCGAAGGAAGACGTGATCAGAGATGTTATGCTTCAGAACATCCCGGCGGCGCCAACTGGGATTGAACCCAGGCCTGCTAGAGTGAGAGGTAATCACGCTTACCACTACACCACCAGCGCCGCTGTGTAGAATCTTCTATACAACTAATATCAGTCATAAATAGGTTGCTGCAACTTTTTGCAACGGAATTTTGTTATTTGGGATTTAACATCTATGCATACAATTTGGACTGTTAACTCTTAAATGTTGCCACATTAGTGTTAAATACAAAAATCAAATACCATAAATAGTTAAATACAAAAGCAAGGTAATAAGAAGAAAAAACACTCCTCACTTAGGACAAAACCTCATTTAGGACAAAGCAAACAACAACTTTAGTGTTTTAGGGCCAATAATAAAAATGAAAAGACCTAATTAAACTTGTTTAGAATTTAACTAAGTTGGATAAAAGATTATTGGCTTACAATGTTCCACGACATTGTTCAACATTAATTTCTGAACAAATTTGTTAAAGACTGCGAATATTTAGGAATATATTCAAAAAAGCTACAGTTTGATTATGTTGCACTAAAAGCTAATCGACGCTTCCGAAATCACTGGAAATCTCAAAATCGTAATATCTCGTCAAACCCTCGAAGGATGATTTTGATTTTTACAGAGAATAACTAGGATGATCAACTCTATCGACTGATAAACACAGATTTGATGGACATTTTTGTTGATAATAACGGTCACAGGGACACTGTGATATATGTTTCATTTTACTCTAAATGTGTTGAGTAAATTAATGATGATGATGATGATGGTCCCACCTCTTACCCCTACACTGTACCAAACCACCGTCCTCTGTTCGAATGAAACCTCAGACCATTTAAATCGAATCATCGAAATCGCCTTTTCGAATGATAGCAGCTATCTGAATGGCGGTTGTTTTGAAATCAGATGATTTTCCTCTCGAATACAGCATCCACTTTGTTATGAAACGGAATAGGGCCTTCAGTTGGAATGCGTAATGCTCTCTGCAAAATGGTAGTCATCTTAAATTGAAATTAATTTCGTATTGGCTCAGCCCCTTAACGCAAATCATTGAAGATGTAAATAATTTTATCGAACGTAATTTGTTGTTCTGAGCAGACAAACGAAGTGGAAGCATAGCTATCGCTATCAGAGGTGGTAGGAACATTGGTAAAGCGTGGAAACCGAAATTTTTTTATTTTGTGGTGGAGGTGGAGGAAGTTTCCTTCACCAACAAGACATTTTTGAATCCTGTTCATCTGTTCATGGCTATTCAATGTAAAAATGTAAACAATCGAATTAATAATATAATCTAACGTATTTGCAAGTCATCCTATCCTTAAATTGTTGTCCTCTGAGCCCTGCGTATGTTTTATAGCCAAATTTCAAATAAATATCATCCTTCATTTGGAGGACAGTCATATTCAACCAAAAGGAAATCATCCGAATTTCGACAGCATATTGTTAAAAGGCTCGAGCAATACAATAATCAGTCGAAATATTGCGGAAGTTTTCGTTCAGTGTACAAAGGTTTGAGCTGAACGATTTATCTTTAAGATAATTAAATTTGACATTTTCACCAGGTTAGCACACAAAATCGAACTGGTTACAGTTACAGATATAATACAGGCGTCCACCCCTTAGTTCGCCTTTTTGTCCACCTAAAATATTCATCAGTATTACAAGCGATTAAGAGTTAATGAACAATCAACAAAGCATCCTAATACACTAGCAACCCCGCAATCTGATGCTATCATAATTTTCAGCAATATCAGGAATGCTAACGAACCCCCGACATTTGCCAGAAAAGCTGAACAATTTTATGGATTGATACTTTTCTCAATAAAATCGACATTATTCTGCTTATACCATTCAATGACATCGCGGCTATAATGGCAGCTGGCTAAGTCAGGCCAGAACTTTACGGGACCTTCGTGTGATTGAATGAACGGCAAAATTATGTTCTGGAGACACTCCTCCTTGTAAAGTTGTCCATTCATAGTCGCTCCAGTGATGAAAACCTTTGTTTTCTTTCAGCAACTGCAGATGCCTTGCCAAATCATCAACTTGCGAGTGAATATATCTGCAAAGACAAATTTGAATTTATCCGGAGTATCCCCCTTACGTTTAGCTAGGTAAAATTTTTGGCCCGGGATTGGTCCAAAGTCCATTTTTACGTAAGTTTCATCGTCCATCAAAATGTGAGTGTGCAGAATTTTTTCACGTCTGTCACGCTCCATCTTTGATAACTTTTGAACTAAATAAACAATCCTTCCGGATCAAAACGCTGTCAATAGTTTCTTGCTACGACGCAACTAGAGGCGCTACAGTAATTAAAAAGAAGCGGCCAAATACAAACTGGAACAGACTTTAATGCAAGGTATCTTCCAAATAAGCTTCAAAATTGCATTTTTTTTAATCAATTTTTAAATTCAGTCCTCTATATCCGTAATACGCGCAGGAGACTCAAGGCTTTGAAGACTATTTTTTTAAAAACTACTATTGAATCAAATATTGAAAATCCAAACAATTTTTTTGCTGTGCTACAATAATTATTAAAAGGTCATTATGACAGTTATCCATACAAAATAATCCGCTAGAGATAACATTGTCAAAATACCTACATAATTTGTCAATTCATAAAAACAAAATCACTGCATAACTGTTCAAAAGACAGTTTTAACAACAATCAATACGAAACTAATGATTTTAAATTGGCTCACCACTTTAGTAGCCTATTGGTCCCAAGCAAACGATTAACGTACACAGATAAAAATTCTGAATTTTAATTGTGATGTAAACATTCATTCACGTAAACTTAAATTTAATTTCACACAACCGAGCAACTTGTAAACAATGTTGTTTACAAAGATGGGCTTTTGTATACAATATTTGCTACATTGCATGAATTGTGCTAGAACTTTACATGATATATAATGTAAACTTATATGATATATGATGCTCCATTTGTGTGCATCATATTGAACAGAAATTTACACTACTTTTCGAACTGTGTACCCTATTCTAGTTGAAAACTATTACTACACTATGTTTGTTTTGATTCGCTATGAAAGTTTGACAGATAACATCAGGGGTGTGTGGATTCATGCAGAACATGCAGGGGTGAGTGAAATAGCTTGGGACTGCTTGGGACCGTTGTTCTGGTACTGAGTGAGCCAAAAATAATAATGATTTTCTTCGGGACCCAGTGGTCTTAGAGTTACCTCTATGGTTTTAATGTGTGAAATTCAGTGTCTTTTAAATTCTGTATGTGTTGCTGAACGTTTGATAAAAGTCAAGAAATGTGGTTTCTTATTTAAACCGTGTTTCTAGTATAATATCTATGAAAGTCACTTCCTCTTTCAATTCGATCACACAAATATCGAGGCAGCAAACCGTTAACTACTTTAAAAATGAACACCATACACAGTTCGAAAAGTAGTGTAAATTTCTGTTCAATATGATGCACACAAATGGAGCATCATATATCATATAAGCACAGACAAACAGACATAACACATTGAATATTTCTCACTGTAAAACATCGTCGCTAAAACATTACCGCAATCTGTTGAGTACACTGTGGTGGGCACTACGCTGAACAGATGTCGGTAGTGTGTAAACGTCAAACGCAAGGGAATTTTCTATGCGCGCCACAGGTGGCGTTACTACCAACTAGGATACTTTTTAATTGTCCGTTAAATGCTTGTTCGATGAACAACTTGCGAGTGTTATGTCTGTTTGTCTGTGATATAAGTTTACATTATATATCATGTAAAGTTCTAGCACAATTCATGCAATGTAGCAAATATTGTATACAAAAGCCCATCTTTGTAAACAACATTGTTTACAAGTTGCTCGGTTGTGTGAAATTAAATTTAAGTTTACGTGAATGAATGTTTACATCACAATTAAAATTCAGAATTTTTATCTGTGTAGTCAAACATACAATTCTTTGCTTTACCGACAACCATTGTAAGGCGTCCAGCATCAAAGTTGAGGAAGTTAATCTATTACATCTCAAATTCATACGCATTATTTTATTCTGCAAGCGCTGTAATCTCGTTACCTATTTGTGTGTCATTGGCCAGAAATAAAATGGAAGGGCAGAAGATGATTCTTGATGACATTGTCAATGTGAGAGTTGAACTTAAGTTTGTATTAATGGACGGGTAAATTAATGAACTTATTCTTTAAACTTGACATAATGATAGTTAACGTCTAAGGAAGATGGCAGTTTTTAAATCGTTCTGAATAAGCAATTACTGTAAAACATAATTAAATTTTACACTTGTTTTCTGAGCATCATCTACGACTGAAATTGTAGATGGAATGCTCTTAATGATAACTTTTTTTCAACAAAGTATTTTGTTTAACTATCAGCCAGCCAAAGCCAGGTTTGGCAAAATTCAGTTTGAAACCTGCTTTACACACGACTAGTCGTTCTGTTCTTAGTGATCGTGACATTCGATCTACAGCACCTGGTATTATGTGTGGTTTACCCCGTAACGTGGGTAGATCACCTTTTCGTGGTACGTTACGGG